TGAGGATGTTTAAGACAAGTCCTGTTGCTTACAGGCCAGAGCTAGTGTTTCATGTGTGCCAAATGGCCATAAAGAGAACAATGCTTTCATGCTCCCTACTCACTCCTACCTGCAAGGCTATTTTGAAGGCTCGAGCCATGCTACTGAGATGTTACTGTAACAGAATGTTCTTTAGGGGTTTTCTTTTACCTTGTGTTAACATTGTGGGCTTTTTAACACATTGTATAAAACACCAATCTGCATAAGTTCTCCTAGAAAAAAGGAATTCCATAAACATGTATGAAAGTTCACTTGACAGGCAATGCCCACACTCAGAGCAGCTTTCTAGGTGGGATGGGCTGTAGCTCCAAACCCGCTGAGACTGCCACAAGAGATCAATGCAGGAGGAGGAGATGGGAATTCTCCAGTGTTGGCCTGAGTAGTTTTTCTTGGAAAGACAAGATGATGGCATGTGGAGAGGTGGCAAGTGTTGGTGAAAGCTGAGTGTAGGGAGTGCCACAGAGGAAGGCAACTGCCCATGACTCCTGTGTACCTGGCAGGCAAGGAGGAGAAAAGTGAACTTTTAGGTTCACTGAATAGATTGTGCAGACAGGTGGTGGAGGCCCCATCCCTGGGCACATTCAAGATCAGGCTGGATGAAGCTTTAAGTAGCTTGATCTAGTTTGAGATGTCCCTGATTATTGCAGGGAGGTTGGACTAGATGGCCTTTGGAGGTCCTTTCCAGCCCAGACATTCTGTGATTCGATGATTCTATGAACTAAGGTGAAAATATTGTCAAAGGCTGTTTGGGACCAGGAAGAAGGGTGATGTTGGCAACTGCTTTTTGTTGGACCTCAGTGGCTGAGGGTGGAGGCCACCTGGACGAGCTCCATGAGTGAGCTTTAGTGTATGTGCAAATGGCAGTGTAATGATGGCACTGAAGTAGCTCTCAAATGCAACATCCTTTTATCACCGATGAGTGGTACGATGTTAAGTGAAATCATTTGATGCATCTTCTGTGTCTTCTGTCCTAACAGCCAGAAGGGGCTGCACTCCTCCATGATAGTCAGGTCATTAATACACAGGCATTAACATGGTGTGCAAGACCTTGGTGTGCATGTGTTTTATAGAATTGCACTAACTAGAGCTATTCAGATCTTGGCATGGTTATACAGCTCTGAGGTCCTACTGTGTTTTTTAGTAAGCAAATACTCAACTGAACGTTTCCTGCCAGTTTCATCTTACTTGCAAACCAGGCTGGTTCTGTATCAGTGGAGTAGTCTGCAAAATAGTGCTAATCAGCTATTGGCTAAAACCAGGGAAGTACCAGTGTGAAGCAGAAGGAGCAGATATTCTGGTAGATTTAAAAAAAAAAAAAAAAAAAAAAAAAAAAAATTCTTACCTTTGTGAAAATCCAGGCAGCCAAGAATATGCAGGAGGAAAATGGAACTACAAAAACCTAAACCTAATGGGTTTGATTGACCTAACTGATTGAAGGAGCACATGGAATAAAAGGTTAGAATAAAAAGGAAAATAAGTCACTACAGGAATTTATTAGAGAAACCTGATGAAGTGAGGCTGGCATTTCAGGTGAAAACCCAGGAGGATTTTGCTCTTAGTAGTTGGTAGATAAATTATAGTGTGGGTATTGAAAGCAAGCTAGTTTAAAATACAAGGCTCACAATATGGCTATTTTAAACTCCCCTCACTTTCTATGTATCACTGCAGAAAGCCACTAATTTCAGTAGAGAGGTATCCAAAAAGGTAATGAAAACCCACTAAAAATATTTGAGTCCATTGATGGGACACCCATCAGCCTGAAATCAAAACAGCTTAAATGAAAAACTGTTTGGTTTTGCAGTTGCCTCTATTTCCCATCAGTTCTCCTTGCAAGCACATTTTCTTTCCTTCCTAGTCCCTTCTGTCCCTGTGCATTGGGAAGCTCATCAGATATGCAGGAGAAGCTGAAGAACTGAGCATAGGCAAATGATCATAATAAGCTGAAAATGGTAGAAGAAATTAAATTTAAGCTTTTTTCATAATCTTTTAATGCTGTTCATCTGAGTCTTACTGAATTAGCAATTGAGGGTTTTTTAAAGAAATATTATTGCAATTGCTCGTGTCCCATTTAAAGTTAAGAGTGACTCATGGGGGAAAGTGATGGGTAGTCTGAAGACAACTGCAGGCAATAAAATTGCATTAACTTGTAAGCAGTACTACTGCAAATAGATGTTCCTTGAGGGGCTGCAGAGAGGTAAGGGTCTTTTACATGGGGCAGTGAGCCTCAGGGACTGTCCCTTCCTGGACAGGCACACAGCTTTGTTTGTAGCCCTGTATATAGTGCAGCAAAGAGCTGTATTCCAGAGACTGGGTACACCTCTTACATATACAACTTTCCTGGACCTCCAGGATGGAAAGAACAGATTCTCACTTAGAGCAAGTGTGCTAAGGAAGTACTGCTGAGGAGGAGAAACTTCAGCCGAGGGGGGGGGGGTTTATGGGAGATGTTGAAACCATCAGTTTCTCGAATGTGCTGCTCCCATTGCAGGAGAATCTCTCCTGTTTGTCTGAAAGGAGTATTTCAATTATTTAAAGGCATTTCAGTACAATTAAGGGGATCAAATTGTTTGGGTAACTTGAAACAGTGCTCTGCAACTTTGAGTTGGTCAGGTTCTTTCTGTGTTCATGCTGCTCCCTTTAATAAGGGGAAGATGCAACAAGAAAGATTAGGCAAAGGCCTTTTTTTCTGTGTTCAACTTTTGTTTTGAAATTAGTACTTCTTTTAAAAAAGAAAGCTTTTGGTATTGTTTACTTTCATTAACGTATGTTTCTAGTTTCCAGAATCTGCTAAAAAGTGTCAATTCTCTCTTGCTTACTCTTCCTTCACACTTAGCAAATGTTGCCTTTCCTTATTCCTGGTATCAAATCAGACAGACAATCGCATGTGTTTTTAGTAACAGCAGGAGATGTTTTGGAAGGGGCAGTGGGCTTCACAGTTGTATTCACACTGTCTGGTAACTGTACCCAGGTGGAGCCTCAAGTTCACCCTGCAACCTAGCACAAGGCTATTGTGTCCCTACTGTCTGCAAAAAGACTTAAGCTGGTGGGTATGAGGAGGTGGAAGGAGAATGGGGACATCCCAAAAGGCACTAGTGCAGAAACTGGGTGCAACTTATCCACATAAATTCCTTGGTGTTGTTAGGAGGAAACAGAGGATCCATGACAAATTGAGAAGAGGATGGTTGAGCTTGGAGCTCCTTGGGGTTTCATGCTTCTTTTTTTGTTAGGGGTTAGAAGATCCAGATTTTATACTCCCAAGTTTGCTGAGGATCTTTTCCTGAGTGTGCTTCAAATTTGAGTCAGTTAGGAAGTTTTAACCTCTGATAGTATGAATATATGCCCTGGACACCTGGAATCTGCTAAATGGTATCGATTTAACTCACTTAACACTTAATTGGCTCACTAGGCTTTTGTTGGAGAGGTAAGAAAAAAAAATAGATTTTCTGATGGTGAGGAAAAAATTAAAAGTCATTGGTAGTTCCCATAAAAGAGTGTGAAGCCTAGTTCTGGTTTTGTGTTTTGTTTTTTTTTTTTTCCAGGGCAGGCAGAGGGGACACAAACAAAGCAGGTCAAAGTCCTGTCCCATCTGTGGTTGCTCACCTGGTGGGGAAGTTTTGATTGAGCTGGGTTTTTTTATTGTGAGCATAAGTGTGCATTGAGTTTGAGGTATCCTATTTGGCTAAAGCATTTGGTATAGTTGAGGGCTGGTGTGTTAATGTTCTTGCACATGATTGCAGCTGCTGCTTTTAGCTGGTTCAGCTCAGGCACGACTGTTTCCTTTATTTGTAGTGGGAAATGAACATTTGAGTCTTGCCCGTGTTCACATGCATTCTCAAAATTTAAATGCATATTTTCAGCATAATCAGAAGTTCAGACTTTTTGAGATTGTCAAATGGATTTACCTTTCAAAGGAAATAAAACAAAGTAACAACTCAGATCTTTGGACTTCGAAAAATTGTATGGGGGAGTGATCTTTGGTTTTTGATCTTTGAGGCACTTTCTTTCCTTGGTCGGCTTATATTCAAAGTTTCAGGTTCTCCCTAAATCATTTTTATTGAGAAAGGTCCTTAAAAGCTTAGAGCACTCATGAGATTGTTTAATTGAAGAGTGATTGTCAGTTTTGGCATAAAATTGTATTTTTCTTAAGTTCTGTTTGGGTTTTCACATTAAAGAGCTGTTACACAAACCAAAACCAAAGTACTTTAAATTCCTAAGTAAAAATGTCCCTCTAGCTCTTCAGTTAATCAGTACATCCTGTCTTAACCTTGCACTGCAGTGTTTACTTTAGAAAATGGAGACCAGAAATTCCTCCATTAAAATAAAAATGAACATTAATTTTAAATAGGATTGCAAGAGCCCCTCTCCTGCATGAAGAAATGAAGATGTGCAGGTTGCCTGCCTATGTTTAAAAGTTTCAGGATACATCTGCTCTTACAAATAAATGCTATCAGTTGAGATAACCCTCAGCAGCTCTTAGAAGCAGTTTCACCAACTTCTCAGCAGAGCTGTGCTGATAGGAGACCAGCATCCTTTGATAAACAAACGGTTTCTTTTCTGGGGGAGCAGAGGAGAAGTTGGCCTTGGTATTTTTGGAACACTTTGAACACTGCTTAGAAACAATGAGGTGATTCCTTTGAAGATGGAGAAGTGTGTACCCAGATAGAGCTTGGTCCGACTCAAACGCTTAAGTCTGTGTTCATGCAGCCTTGTGCAGGTTGAGGCACACAGGCACGGCTGCAGGGGGAAGGCTGGCAGAGCTACTGCCCATAGGGTGATGACCCTGTACAGAGATGGAGGAGAGAGGCACCGTCTTGGTGGCACACAGGCTGGCACCCCTCCTCAGCTCTCACTTCTCCTTAGAAACTGCTTTAAAGAAAGAGCCAAGATGAACTGTGTACTGCTGTCTGCATCCCTGCCCTGTGGATACACTCAGAGATGTCCTGTGTTTTGTTTTTGAACAGGAAAAGCCAACAACAATGTACAGTGGGATGAGGACTCCGTAGAATACATGCCAGCCAACCCAGTCAGGATCGCATTTGTCTTGGTTGTTCATGGCAGAGCTTCTCGGCAGCTCCAACGCATGTTTAAGGCTATTTACCATAAAGACCATTTTTATTACATTCATGTTGACAAGGTAATATATCACTGGTTATAAATTGCCTGTCTTGCCATCTGTCAGTTTACCCATCTTTGTCATCTTCATCTTCTCTTTACCTCTGCTTCACAGAATGCATGTCACTTTTTGTCTCTCTCCATCTGTTATGTTTGGAGCCTCTATTTTTTTTTTCTTTCTTGTGATTTTCTCTGTTTAACAGCCCTTATTTCTCCTTATATGTCTACGAGTATCTCTTTGTGTCTCTCTGTTGTACATTTAGTTAACAGTAATTGATGAGTTGATGCAGGCTGACAGTGGCGACCCACTGGATGGAGAGCTGAGCCGAGGTGCCTTGGGCAAGCTGTGTTACTTCACACTGTCAAACGGGGAGGTAGTAACAGTCACCTCCTTTACAAAAGCCCTTTGGGATCTACTGATGACCAATGATAAATAAGAGCTAGTTACACTTATTAGTGATTATTGTAGTTGTAATAAAAAGAATTAAACAGGGATCTATACATTGCCAAACTAGCACTTAGCAGAAAAAGACTGTGCACCATAGTAAGTGAAGGCAAAGCAATGGCAACACTCGGTGAGTCAAGAAGTGGAATCGATGGTTAATGAATGCAGGGAGGGACAATTCTGGGCAGAGTAACTTGAACGTATTACTTTTTTCTCCTGTAAAGAGATCCAATTACTTGCACCGGCAAGTACTCCAGTTTGCCAACCAGTACCCAAATGTGAGAGTCACTTCTTGGAGAATGGCAACTATTTGGGGAGGAGCAAGTCTTCTGTCCACCTACCTGCAGACCATGAGGGACTTAATGGAGATGAATGACTGGCCATGGGATTTCTTCATTAACCTCAGTGCTGCCGACTACCCAATCAGGTACAATGAGTATTTTAACATGTTCTGTTCCTAGAGGAAGTACGTACTGAAGGATATAAGAGGTGACATGTCCATGCTGTGCTGTGAGAAGCAGGGGTTAGAGATTCTTCTGTCTTACAGCAGAAGACTCCTCTTGATAAGGTTGGTGTCTGACAGCCACATGTTAGCCAAGGAGACAGTCACCTTACCCTGTGTGTCTGCTGCTTACCTCGGAGAGCCCGTGGCTGTGAGCAGGCTCACAGCACAGGTTCTCTGCTTTTACTGAAGAAGCACAGCCTGCTCTATTTAGTCATTATTTCCAGCAAGGGGCACCTGCAAGAGAGGATTGAGTAAAGTAGCAGGAAGTACTGATGCTCAGTGAGCAAACCCCAGGCATGGAGACATCCCTTCTTCCCAGGGCTCTCACCAGCGGTTTGGTCTGATGTCTCAGAAAGTGCTGAAGGTTTCAATATAGATTCAGTGAAGGTAATTTCTCTTCTTTCTTTTTTTAGTATTTTTTTCTGCAGAGGATAATGACAGTTGAAGTGACAAATAAGTTTCTAGGAGTCAGTTATACCTTCAGCACCAAACATTGCCTGAATATCTTTATTCAGATGGCATCAGGCAAAGAACTTCACATGAATGCCACCACATGACAAGGCTTGTGATTTTAAGTGAAGTGACATTCTTTCTGGATTTACATAACCCAAGCCCCACAGCTGTATTCTATAAGATTTACTACATAGTGCAAAAGCAGATAGTCCGTTAAAAAAAAAAAAACAACACCCAGAACAACAAACAAACAAAACAAAATCCAAAAGACCTAACTGTCCCCAAACCAAGTGTCCTTAAATTGCTGAGTTTAGGCTACAAGAATTAACAAGAAGAGAGGAAATTCTCCTTGTGACTTCTGTTTCCCTGTGTGTTGCAATGAATCGATGAAAGGGGAAGTAACTTTCTTGGGTGATTTTCTGACAAGTGATGACATAATACGCTTTTAATACTCGTAGAAAAGAAATACATTAGATGCTTTCACTGCCTTTCACTGATTAGGTTTCTGCAAGATTTCTCTCAAAGTATGGGTCCCTTCCTGAAGCTGCTACTCAGAACTCCCCAATGAACTACAAAATGAAAAAAGCCATGAGTATTTGCGCTGGGAAGGATTTTGTGAGAACTGACAAAAGGTTTTATTGCTGGTGCCCATTTCTAATCATTGTCAGTGAAATGCACCGCATTTTTGGAAGAGCACAGGAGTCACAGATATTGAATTTCTATTGGAGCACAGGGATTTGAATTAATAAATCATGATATTTCATGTTGCATCTGATTTACAACACTTCGGGTGTCCAACAGGAAGAGACCTAACAATTTCAACATACTGCCTTGCTTGTAAGAAAGAGTATGTAGCTCTCTGTATATTCCTAGAGTTTGGGGAAGAGCTAGCTTCTTATGCCTTGTCATTCACTGTCCTGGTGAGGAATGCTGCACTGATGATAAAAGGTAGAATAATGCAAGGCCATAAAGGAAGATGTAGGTGATGGCACTTTGAATCAAGTAAGATAAATTATAGACTTGTTCCAGCAGATGTATCCAGTTATTGTTCTGTGGTGTTAAGTCCACCCTAAACATCGTATAATGGTGAGGCCATTACCCGTGGTGATCTCAACTGTTCTTAGTTCCCTGTGGAACATGTTAAACCACAAGGCCAAATAGGATTGTCCCTTATAGGCGTGGCCGTAAATAATCATAGGATTTGTTGAGTAGACTGTAGTCAGTTTGGTGTTAACGGATTCTTTGTAATAACGCTGGGTATCTTCCACTCATTCAAACTCTCAAGATGTGCCATTCAGCTGGAAAAATTCCAGGCACCGGTGTCTTCGGGGGCAAACTCCTGCAGGTTGTGCTCCTGCATTGCAGCTGCTGGCAGAGCTGCCCAGAGCTCTCGGCAGCCGGGCAGGCGTCTGAGCTGCTCACTTTCCTTTCTGTCCAAGTATTCTCTTACCAGAACTGAGGGAGATGTGCTTCCCCTTCACACCATGCACACCAACAAAGAGTAAAAAACCCTTTTCAGTGTTACAGCTTTAATGACAGTGACTTCTAGGTACTGCTAAATTCTTTTGAATATGGAATATTATAGCTACAAATGCTGGAAAATCTTATCTCATCAAATATATATATGAATCCATTTCATTTTCACACTGGAGATACTATAAATTAATATTCTTTATAATCTTTAGGAAGGTGTTACCTCTCTGCATACCTCCTAGAGAGCTGATTGTTTTTCTAGGAAATAGTAAATAGGATGTTTGAGGAGTTTTTTTACTTCTTTCAGACCTCATTTATCAGCTAATGGGCTAGGGGCAGTTTACACTTCTCTCACTGGTTAGTCATATTGCCATGGTTTTTGCTAGGGTTTTCTGTGTAAGAACATATGAATTTTGTGGATTAATAGTTTTTATCCAGAGCTGCTTCACATTAAGCTTTCACTTCCCATCTGCCATTCCATCTGTAATGATGAAACCTTTACTACTTCTCTTTTGATAATAAAGGCTAATCCAGCCTTATAAGTCAGAAAAACACGTTCAGTATGTGAGTATTCATAATACTATATGATGGAGCCTAAATCTGTCCAGAGAGAAGTCTGGTGTGTTCACAGGCTACATTGCAATTGCTAGGAGTCCTTCATCTGTCAGAAGAGATGTCTAGAAGCAGTTATCGAGGATTATGCTATATAAAGGCAGGGGAAAAAAAAAAAAAAGTATATTAGAACCATTCATTTTAGGAGGGAAACAATTAAAAATGTGTAATATAAAACATATGCAAGCCAGGAAAATTCAGATACCCCTATTACTCTTCCTCATGCCTTAATGTCTGGTTTGTGGAATGGAGTTTGTAGATGCAGCACCTAGCGCAAAAGAGATTCTAATCTTTGTGCTTCTAGTTGTTACTGAAGTCAAAATCACTGGCAAACAGAGTCTGGATGTAAAGGTGCCTCCAACAAAAATGCTGTGTTTAGTCATGAGGCAATATGCTATTTATTGGCCTAAGTGAAATGATGTGGTGCATTGTCCAACCTTGACTCCATTCAGCTCCATTAAACATTCTCATCAGGATAACGAGGGATGAAATGACCAAAACCAAACCTCTACAAGTGTCTCTGAGGTTGGAGGTTGTGCAATTGCCTCTCCTTTTGTTTGGTTGTGAATAAAAAAAGGGCACATGCCTTCAGGGTTGTCTAGAGATCATCTCTTACAGTACTTGCATTCATATAGAAAGGAAAGAAACCAACATCTTCCTTCCTTTTCCTTAAGTTCTTTAAATTTAGTGGCATTTTCTCCTGATTTAGTCTTTTGATAGCCTCTTTCAAAATTCTGTGGGAAAGCTATTGATGTCTTTAACCTCTTACTTTACACAGGTATCTATTTGCATTATTTATAGTCTCTGACAAACAGCATCAAGTAGTCAACCTTGTGTTCAGTGACTGAAATTTCATTCCCAACAAGGTGAACTATGGTAGAGCATCTATTGATGCTGAATGTTTAATGTGCATTACAGGAGTCCTTGAATAATGTGGCAGGTGAAGTGTTGCACCACTTAAATTAAGAAGTTTAATGAGCTCATTTAACAGTGAATGTCATCTCGGTGCTTACCTGGCCACAAACCTTGTATGAAGAACAAACATAATGAAACATTTGAACTATTTATAATTTACAATAAATCACTGAGCCTCGATCACCCAGTCTAATTGCCAGTTAGTTCTTGGTGTTTAATAAAGGTCAAACAAAATTATTAGCAGAAGCTTAGAGAGTGCTTCAGAATAGTAAAAATATAGAGTGGTTTATTGTCGGAGCCAGGAATACAGATTCAACTGTATTGTCAATTATAAGCAATTGGCTGTAACAAAGGAGCTGAAAAGAAACCTAGTGAAACTACTTGTATTTTGCTGTTTGTCACTATTGGAGGATAAAGGTTGTATAGCTATATTTTCCATAAAATCCATGTGTTGTGATGGTTCAGTCAGGTGACAATTTGGTGTAGTTTATGGAGATCATCTTTGTCAGTCAGAATCACCCTCAGAAATAAAGAAAAATGAGCTAGCAAGGAACTATTGACTGACGTGCTCTTGTTTCATCGTGTTGTCCTCTGATAGTCAGGGTAACATTGTTAATGCTAAATAGCAATATTCTTCTAAAGTTTTAAATGCTCTTTTAGAAACTTGAGGCATGTCCTTTGAAGTAGGTAAACCTTTTTCTCAGGTTGATGTTTCCAGTCCAAGCAGCTCTTTAAAAGTATTGTTAGTAGCCACCCAAAATCAACAATTTTATTTGAACTCCTGCCAAATCTAAATGTGGTAGACAGCCTAGTACTGAGAAAGCTGTCTTTTATCTCATCTGTTGTCTCCATTGCTTTTATCTCTAATAACTTAGATGGCCAGGTCCCGCACTGGGGCTGTACCAGGGCTGCTGCCCTTGGATATCAAGAAAGGAAACTGAAGACAAAATGGTTGTGTGGAAAATTAATTATTTAAAATTATTCTCTGCAGTCAGCCAGATGAAGTATTAGTACAAAACCAAAGCACTGACTTCTGAGTGAAGTCCCTGGGCAGCAAAGTGTTTGTCAAGAATGAAAAGAAGGGAGTAGAGAGAATAGGTCCTCAGGTCTTCATTCTGATGGCAGGTGGAAATTACTATAACTAAGCGGTTATAGAAAGAAGTTCAGCCTTTGGGAAAAAGCCTTCAGTACTTTTTCAAGTTATTTTTCAGGTGCCAGAACTACCTGGGAGAACACCAACTTCCTTGTTTCAGCCAGATTCATCCCCTGTAAAACATGGGTGACTACCACTCTATATAAACTACACCGGAAATTATTTTTACTCTGAAATTTACCATGACCTGGCCAGATTTCACCTGGATAGATGACCAGATGACAGAAACTTTGAAGCAGATGACTAGGAGAAAAAAGTGAGAGAACACAGTTTGCATGGAGTGAGTAAACCAGACTCCAGTTGTCCATCTGCTTTT